ATCTCCTGACCTCGTGATCCGCCCGTCTCGGCCTCCCAAAGTGCTGGGGGATTACAGGCGTGAGCCACCGCGCCTGGCCTGGTGTCTTAAGAGGCTTGATTTCATATAAGGACTTTACATAGGATTAGGATGGATTAGAATGGAAGTTCTAGAAGCAGGTGAGAAGGAGTGGAAGATAGGGATAAGGAAGGAAGAGATTTAAAAAGACATTGAGAAGGAAAAGACCACAGGACTGAGAGGAATGGATGAGGAGAGAGGGAAGAAGGAGTCAAAAAAGAGGTGGGGGCCTAGGGGACTTTTGGAAGGTGGTACTATTTATAGGAATAGTGACTTAATAGGCCACATACAGTGGCTCATTCCTGTGGTCCCAGCTACTCAGGAGGCTGAGGTGGGAGGATTGCTTGAGCCCAGGAGTTGGAGGCTGCAGTGAGCCATGATTGCCTACTGCAGCCTGGGGCAATAGAGTGAGACCCCTATCTCTAAAAAAAGAATGAGCACACTCCTGTGGGTGGTCCCAGCTACTTGGGAGGTTGAGGTGGGAGGATCACCTGAGCCTGGGAGGCAGAGACTGCAGTGAGCCGTGATGGAGCCACTGCACTCCAACCTGGGTGACAGAATGAGACCCCGTCTCAAACAACAACAAAAAAAACGAAAGAGGCCAGGCACTGGAACTCATACCTGTAATCCCAGCACCTTGGGAATTCGAGGCAGGCGGATTGCCTGAGCCTAGGAGTTCAAGACCAGCCTGAGCAACATGGCAAAATTCTGTCTCTACCGAAAGTACACAAAATTAGCTGGGCATGATGTGAGTACCTGTGGTCCCAGCTAGGCTGAGATAGGAGAATCATCTGAGCCTGGGAAGTTGAGGCTACAGTTAGCCATGATCACACCACTGCACTCTTGCCTGAGTGACAGAGTGAGACCTTGTCTCAAAAAAAAGAAAAAAGAAAAAGAAATAGGGAAGTCAGGAAAGAGAAGTGATGCTTTTTTTTTTTTTTTTGAGACTGAGTCTCACTCTAGTCACCCGGGCTGTAGTGCAGTGGCACAATCTCAGCTCATTGCAACCTCTGCCACCTGGGTTAAAGTGATTCTCCTGCCTCAGCCTCCCAAGTAGCTGGATTACAGGTGCCTGCCTCTTCGTCTGGCTAATTTTTGTAGTTTTAGTAGAGACAGGGTTTCACCGTCTTAGCCAGACTGGTCTTGAACTCCTGACCTCGTGATCCCATCACCTCAGCCTCTCAAAATGCTAGGATTGCAGGTGTGAGCCCGGGCCATACATTTGTTTTTAGACTTATTTCTGTACCAAATTAGCCCAATTATCTACTGTCTTGTGTTTTGAACTGATTTTTTTTTTTCATGTATTGAACCCGGAGAGCACAGCCTCCTCGAGGGTAAAATCTGTGTCTCGAACTGTTTCTGCAGTCCCTCCGGGGTCTGGCATGCTGACATGCTGTTTACTTCATTGTCTGTGGGTGCTTAACAAAGACTTGGTGATTGACTAAGTTTGTGTTTCCATTCAGGAAGATTGGCCTTTACTCCCTTTCCAGCCCATGTTCTTGCGTCTGCTTGTTTATAAGTCATTTGTTACATAGATTTTTCTTTTTGGAGATGGAGCCACACTCTATGGCCCAGGCTGGAGTGCAATGGCCTGATCTCAGCTCACTGCCACCTCCACCTCCTGGGTTCAAGCGGTTCTCCTGCCTTAGCCTCTCAAGTAGCTGGGATCATAGGCGCGTGGAACCATGCCCAGCTAATTTTGTCTTTTTAGTAGAGATGGCGTTTCACCATATTGGTCAGACTGGTCTTGAACTCCTAACCTCACTCAGGTGATCCACCTGCCTCGGCCTCCCAAAATGGTGGGATTACAGGCATGAGCCACCATGCCCAGCCCATATATGTGTG